TATTATTAATAAATTATTGCAATATATTCCTTTAAAATCGCACATTTTGGAATATTTCAAGTATTAATATTCTAAATATTAAAAAGCATTATAAATAATATATAATAGCATTATAATCATGTTTTTATTAATATAAGTTTTTACTGTGATTCGAGATTTTTTATTTTTTGTTTAAATATTCTTAAATATTTTTTTGTTAAATATTCTTTTGGAACACACTATATAATTTGCTTGTGATTGACAGAGATAGAAGAAGTCTCTTGGAGGGGGACTTTCCTGTTTCCGCCTGTCAGCCGTAGACTGGTAGAAATCAGAGACGCCTATCTGCCATCGTCGTTGTGTTTATAATAGCTGATTTTTTGCTGAATTTAATTCTTTCCTAATATTTTGTGAAAAGCGTGCAAAGTCACGCCAAATAGAAACTTGTGAGTAGAACATTCGATCGATTTCACTTCTTTTTATTTTAGAAATTATATTGACTGTTATTGTTATTACTTGCGAAGTTGCGACAAGGGTGGGGTGATTCTCACCCCCAAATTATTAGTCATGCACAGTTTTATACTAACTTGAAACCCTTCATTAATGTTTTTTCTATGTACCTATAAAGCAATAATAACTTATTTAATCTCGAAAATTAATTAAAAAATTTGAACGTAATAAAAATATTTTATTTTATTAAAGTATTTTAAAAATTTTTTTATGCATAATGCATAAATTAAAAAACTCTAAAATGAATAATTTGTGTTATTACTTTTATCAGATTACATGGTTTAAGTATAAATTAATCTGAAAGCAATAATTGAAAACGTCAAAATGGCTTGGCGTTTTAAAGCATCTAAATATAAAAATGCAGCTCCTATTGTTCCTAAACCAGAGGCTTGCATTAGGGACATTTCAGTTGGTTCCTATCAAACTTATGGCAATAATATTACAGCATCTGCTGCATTTATGGCATTTAATGTAGATCATAATGGTATATTTATGTCTTATATAAAATATATATCATATATTTTATATTTTCATATTATATTCTTTTTTGCTTTCTTTTTTAAATTAGGATCTAATCTTGCTGTATTACCATTGGAAGATTATGGAAGAAAAAGCAAAACTATGCCTTTACTTCATGCTCATGCAGATACAGTAACCGATATGGATTTTTCTCCATTTCATGATGGTTTATTAGCTACTGGTTCCCAGGATTGTCTTGTAAGTTATAATATTTTAAAAACGTTTATCAATTATATATAATTGCATAATTATGTTATTTACATTATATTATTTATATTATATAATCAATTATATTATAAATTATTATAATTTTCTTATTATAGGTTAAGCTATGGCACATACCAGAAGCTGGCTTAGAGGAACCTTTGTGTAATCCTGAATGTACATTCTCTCATCGTCAAAGAAGAGTGGAAGTGGTTTGTTGGCATCCTTCAGCTGAACATCTTCTTACAACAGTATCATATACAAATTTGTCTCTATGGGATGTGATTTCACAACAAGAATTATTTTGTAAATAAAAAATATTATATTTAAATGCTAGATAAAATATTTTCTAGTAATTTTTAATATATATAATACTACTTTATTATGTTATAGCTAATAATGAACATGCAGATGTTATTCAATCTTTAAGCTGGAAGCAAGATGGCGTACTCTTGGCTACATCTTGCAAAGATAAACAAGTGAGAATCATAGATCCTCGTGCTTCTACTTGTATTGTTAATTGCTGTTCCAGTCATCAAAGTATCAAAGATTCTAGATGTGTGTGGTTGAATAACAGTGATAGAATACTCACTACAGGATTTGATGCAGCAAGATTAAGACAGGTTTATATAAGAGATTTGAGGCATTTAAATGAACCTGTAAAAACCTTAGAATTGGATTGTAGTACAGGGTAAGAATTGATTAATAGTTTATTTTTTGAAATTATTTTATTATTTTAAGAGAATGTCTTAATGATTTTTTTTTAATTATATTTTATTTTAATTTATTTTATTTTAATTATATCATTCTATAATATTTGTATATAATATAAAAATATAAATAATATATAAAAATACAATATAAATTATATTTCACAGTATTTTAATGCCTCTTTTTGATCCTGATACAAATATGCTTTTTTTGGCTGGAAAAGGAGATACTACTATTATGTATATGGAAGTTATGGACAAAGATCCATTTTTAGTTGAAGGTATTCGTCACAGTGGAGAACAAACAAAAGGAGTATGTTTAGTGCCAAAACGAGCACTAACTGTGATGCAAGCAGAAGTTAATAGATTATTACAACTCACTTCCACTATGGTGATACCTATTATGTATCAAGTTCCACGAAAAGTAAGTATATTTTAAAAATGTAATTAAGAAATATTATAATGTATTTCTTAAAGTTAAAAATTGTGAAATTTAATTTTAGACATATAGAGATTTTCATGCTGACATTTATCCAGATACAATAGGATGTGTTGCACAAAATAACGCAGCAGCCTGGATTAAAGGACATAATATGTCTGTTCCTAAAATATCTTTAGATCCTGCTAAAAGAAATAAGGGGGAGGAATCCATTACTGTAAGTAAATAGTTCTATGTTTTTTTTTAGCATTTTTAAAAATGTAAAAAACTTAAAATGTATAAAATATAGTAGAATTTTTTTCTAACAAATATAGAAAAATATTGATTAATTTTATTAAAACTTATAATTTTTTATGATGTGATGTTATTAAATTGCACGCTTATCATCATCATCATTTCATTTTATTATTCTTTTTGCTATTCAGTTTGCCAGTTTGAAATAAGTTTTAAAAGCATCTTTCTTTCTATTTTTAATGTGCTGTGTGATGTTCTATTTATATTAACTTTTATTATAGATTAATATTAAATAAATAATAGCAATGTATCAGATAATATAATTAATTAATATAATTAATTAATGCACTTGATAAATATACAATTCAAATTTACAAATTTTCTGATACTTTGCTAATTGTATATTTATATACATAGTAATATAGAAGTAGAACATAATTTAAATATTATTATTATTATTTATATTTAGAAACTTCTTTATGCATTTTCTTTTGGCTGATAATGTTTCATTTTGCATTATTTAATTTCATTTCCTCATGCTCTGTGTATATTTTTTCACGTTTCAGATATCCAATGTATGTTTTATAGTTTATACATTAGCACCATTCAAAGTGTTATTCCTGGCACGTGTAATTTAAATGGCAATTGATGTTCTGTAGCTTATTATATCAGCGTAAGTAATCTTAAGTATGCGCGTAACATAGCTCTTGTGTTTTTAAGCAAATGCTTCAATATGTTCTTTCTTTTTGTATATATTGTTGAATCTTTTTGTTATGCATAGATGTAAAAAAAAGTAGGAACTTTGATATAAAAAGAATTATAAAAATATCGCGTCTTTGTTGTTTTTTATGTATTTTCACAATTGCAAAGTGCAGATAATGTATATCTGCTATGTTTGTATTATAGAAATTTCATTGATGTAAAATAAAAGTTTTGAAAGTGGAATTTATTGATAAAAACAGTTTGTACCATTAAGGAATTTACCATACTCTTAGGTACATAAAGGAAACTTAGCAACACTCAAGGAAAATGAACGAGAAATAAAAATGGAGCAGAAACAATTGAAATCCATAACTGCATCAAAAGTTTGTATAAAGACACAAGAAGGGAATGACAAAGAGTCAATATCTGAGGATGATATTGAAAAATTAGAAGATCCAAAGAAAATAGAAATTGAAGATGACAAAAATAAAATTCAAAATGGAGGTCAGATGATTCCACCAAAACCTTTACCAAGATCATCAAGAACTAATAGCATTTCCGAAGATGAACCGAAGCCAGTCGCACGTCCTCGAACATCGCCAAATATGGGCTCAGTAGTTACATCCGTGAACCCTAATGCGATTGGAGGATACAAGGTTGTAATCTGGTATAAGAAAAAATAATAGCGTTAAGAACAGAATTTTATTTAAAAAAAAAAATGTTCTACTTCTGTATGCTTGATAATATTCTTCTTCATACTACTTCATTTTTCTCATTATAATTATAATATCATCATAAATAATTTATCATAAGATTTTTATTTAGAAAAGAAAAAATTTTAATTTTTTTTTTTTTTTTTTTTCATTTTTTTTAGCCTCGACTTGGCCAAAACCGTTTCAAGCAAAATCAGGTAGTCAAGAATTTTCTTTTGACAAGATTTTTTCAGTTCCTGTTGCTCCAAATAATGATACAAATGGTTATCAAAATGATTTAAATAATCAAATAGAAAATAATATTGAACCAGAAAAATCACCATCATTTAATAATGAACGTATCAAAGAAACAGAAAATGGAAAAAGTGATTCCAGTTCTTTGGAGGAAGATACAAATTCAAGTGATTCTGGTTATAAACCAAAAACACCAAGCACTGCAGAAAGACGCAAAGTTTTTGAAATAAAAAGTAAAGATGAATCGCCGGAAAATGAAGAATTAGGAAATTTCGAACGAGGCAATACAAACAGAAATTCTATTGCTGAGAGAAGAAGACTTTACGAGAGTCGTTCTGTATCTGTAACCGATGGAAATTTAGCAGAGAAGGCAATGGGTTCACCAACAATGTTGAGACGTAGAGATTCCTTTAAAACCAAAAGTGAGGTGATTAAAGAAGATGAAGTTAAAAAAGTTATTTCAATGTTGCGCCAACAAAGTATGGATCCGCGATTGGAGAAAGTGGATAATTCTGTAACACCAACGCCAAAGAGAACATCAACTGTATTTGGTAAGAAAAATATAAAAATATAAGAATTAAATTTTTTATGAAATATACTTAATATATTTAAATTCTAGTAAAGTTTAAATTCAATTCTATTTTACTATTCAACTCTACTTAATATTCTAAGTTTGTCACATTATCTTTTTGACTTTATTCTTTCTTCTTATTAACAGCTCAACAAAATTATTTGTTACAAGAATTATAATATAATTACTATATTATTCTATTACATTTTTATAATTACATTTATTATATGTAGGTAGAGTATCAAAATTTCGACATTTAAAAGGTACACCTGGTCATAAATCTACTCATATTGAAAATATAAGAAATATTAGTCGTCAAATATCTGGAGAATGCGATGGTTTTCATGGTAATTTGTATAAAATATTTATATATATTTACATATTTTTATATATATATATATTTTTATACATTTATTTTTAAATTGAATTAATATGTGATTATAGCTAATTCCGATCGTGTTGCGGTACCACTTAGTGGACCAGGTGGTAAAATAGCAGTTTTAGAATTGAAAAAAACCGGAAGATTACCAGATGGTGTAATGCCAGCATTAGTACATGGTGCCACTGTAATGGATTTTCAATGGAATCCATTTGATAATCAACGATTAGCTGTTGGTAAAGAAATTATTAATATTATTAAATTATTATGATATTTTATAATAAAAATATTTATTAAATTATCTATTATTATTATTACTTATAATAGCATGTGATGATGGAATGATTCGGTTATGGGAAATACCAGAATCTGGATTATCAGAACCAACAAACGAACCAAAATACATCATAAAGGCTCATACCGATAAAATATATTTAATTAAATTTCATCCACTAGCATCAGATGTTCTTGCATCAGCATCTTATGATATGACTGTGAAAATTTGGGATTTAACGCTTTTGTCATCTTGTGATACAGCAGTTGCAAAAATAACACTAATGTGTCATACCGATCAAATTTTTAGTCTTGCATGGTCACCATGTGGTCAGTATCTTGCAAGTACATGTAAAGATGGGAAATTACGAATTTACAAACCAAGATCTAACGACGTACCAATTAAAACCGGGAAAGGACCTGTTGGTACTAGAGGTGCACGAGTTATATGGGCATTGAAGGGACAATTTCTTGTTGTATTAGGTTTTGACAAGTATATACAGCATTAAGTACTTATAAAAAATTTTTAGAATCATTAAACAATAATTTTTTACTATCTATATTTTTTTTAGAGTTTCGGAAAGGCAAATATATGTTTTTAAAACAGATAATCTTAATACTCCATTGACAACAGTTGGTTTAGATGTGTCACCTGCAATTTTAATGCCATATTATGACGAAGATAGTTCGACACTTTTCTTAACAGGACGTGTAAGAATATCATTTTTTATTAAGAAATTTGAAATATAACAAAAAATATTTTTTCATAAAAAATATATTTACAGGGTGATTCTACAATATACGCTTTTGAAGTAACAGAAGAACCTCCATATTGTTGTCCACTTAGTCATCATCGATGTAGTACTTTGCATCAAGGTTTATCGTTTCTTCCTAAGAATAAATGCGATGTTGCTAGTGTAGAATTTGCATCAGCATTAAGATTAACAAATAATACAATAGAACCCTTGAGTTTTACTGTTCCACGTATAAAGGTAAATTTGATACAAAGTTAAAATTTCTAAAAAAAGAAAAATAAATTAATTTTAACTATCTTTCAGAGTGAACTTTTTCAAGATGATTTATTTCCACCAACTAAAATTACATGGAAATCAACTATGACTGCTACTGAATGGTTTAATGGTGCTAATAAGCAAGCATATAGAATAAGTCTAAAACCACCTGGCATGGACAACTGTAAGTAAAAATTAATAATTTTTTTTTTAATGTTATAAGTACTTTATGTTTTATGTATAGTAACTGAAAATCAAGGCCAAGGAATAGTTACAGCACCTATTGTAGTAAAGCAACAATCAACAACACCATTTTCCGTATCTGCTCAATCTTTCAATAGATTAGGATGGAATCCTGATGTGAAAGCTAAACAAGAAGAGGTATTTAAATATTCAAAAATAATTCAATATAAATGAAATGCACCTAATATTATTATAAAAAGCATCTATAGTATTGTTATAAAATATAAAAATCTCATTTTAATTGCAAATAATTATCGTTTATTTTTTAATAATTTTTATTGCAAAAAAATTATTAAAAGAAAAATTTGTGTTAATATATATGTGATAGATCCAAAAAACTATGAGTAACTTTGTGGGCGATGTAATACAGTGCTCCTTAGAACAAGATCATATGGAAGGTGTAGAGGAACACGAATGGGTGGGTAAATAAAATAATTTTTATAAATATTATAAATATATCTTCATACATTGATATATTTATAATTTAATTATTTCAATTACAGGATGAGTGAAAATTGGTATCAATAGATAAATAATCATATAAAAATAAAAGGTAAGATGAAATAAATTTAAATATAACTGTTTGAAACATAACTTATTTGTAAGTTAAAAATCATAATATAAGCAAAAATATTTCAATAATTAATGTCATACATGTTGAAAGATATTTATAATTGCAATAATAGTTTCAAAAAAATTTTTATTCCGTATTTTCTTTTTAATATTATATTTATCATATAAATTTAATTCAAAAAATACAAGGAATTGAATATTAAAATATTTTTAACTTTGTTAATATTATTTTTATGATTTAATTCAATATAATTCAGTAAAATAATACTTGTAAAAAATTTATGGTCCTTTTTATGAATAACTTCTATTAATTATCATTTTATAATTTTAATATTAAAGATAAATGCATAAAATGAATATTATAAGAATATATTAAAAATTTAAATTTATAATTATTCATCAGAACTTATTAGAATTTGACAATAGTTTTAATTATTTATTTGCGATTTTGAAGTCATCAATATTATCTCAAGTATATTTTTGTGAAAATAATATGTGTGAAAATAATTGAATAATTTTTTTTTTATTTTTAAAATTTGAAAATATGCCACTTATAAATTGTCTGAAAATATAGAAAAGTTCAGTTAGAAATTATTAATTAGAAACAAGCATTGTCTAAATAAATTTTTAATTCTTTTATAAAAAAATTATTTTTAATAATTTTTTGTAACATACACATACAAAATCATATTTGTTAAAATTAAAATTCATATGAATAAATATTGTTTGAAAAATTGTTTAATATTTCTAAACAATTATAAATTAATATTATTCAACAAACACTGTTTTTTTCTTTTGTTAAATATAACGATATGTAATAATTCATAAAATAATTAGTTTTGAAAAAATTATATATGATTTATATGATTATAATATAAATGTATTGGTATCTTTTTTTATTTAATATTATGAATGATATTCTTAGTACATATACTACTGTAATGTAATCATCATATGTGTGATACTAGCGAACAATACTTTTTTTCATAAATCGAAGGTTATAAGTTTTTACAAAATATCGTAATACACACACACACATATAAAGATAAAATAATAGAAAAATTACATATTAATAAATCGTCATTTAAATAAATCGATACTTACGTTATACAGCAAATATACTCGGTAATAACAAATTATTCAATGATTCTATTGAATATAACTAATAAATTAATTTTTATATACTTTCAATTTGGACAAAATATTTGTAAAAAAAAAAAAAAAAAAAAAAGAAAAGAAAAAAAAGAAAAAAAAACTGATCAAAAATCCGAAATGTATTGTACTTGAAAACAATTTTGCGATTCATTATGCATATATGATTAAAACGTAAAAGCGTAAATTCCATATTTATTGGTAGTCAGAAAAAAAATGTTTTAGATTATAAAAAGTGTAAAAATGCCTATTTTCTCTATATAATATATAGACTTTGTATTTTTTAATAGTCTAATATTAAATAATAAATTAAGAGAATAATAAAATAATTTATATAAAATATATTCATTTACAATATATTCATTTAAATATATTCTATTCCATTAAATAAATTTTTTTATCGCACTAAAATGGTATAATCATCTTTAAGATAGTTTTTCATAACTAGAAAAAATATAATGGCGTTCCTATTCGTGTGATTGAAATTTTTATATAAATAAAGATAAAGATCCCTCCATTTGTAATAATTTTTAAATATGTCTACAAGCAAACATGGAATTTACGCTTTCATATAATCACGCACATTTTATACTTTTATATTAATTTTATATTACCAAACATCGGTAACTTAATAATCGTATAAAAAGAAAATAAATCTGATGGTGCTGTGTTATTTCGACAAATTTTAGTCTATAGTTGTCATAAATATAATAATGAAATTGACAAAAAGATGATTATTATTCAGTTTGCTCAATGGTTCAAAAACAAATAACATTCCAATTTTGTATTTTATCATAAAGGATAAATTATAAAAAAATTATCACTCGCAAAAAATTGAAAAGGTGCCAAAAGTTTCATACAACAATTAAAAGAATGAAAAAAATACATGAATTAAGTTCTTTATATAATGAACTAAATATATTAAGCATTTAAAAAAAATATATTTTTCTCTGCATTTCTTATATATGTATTACACACATAAATTTATATCATTTTTAAAAACATAATATTTTCTTTCGTAAATCAAAAATAATAATAAAACTTTTATAAACATCGAAGTGAAAAAAAAAGAAGAAAAACAAATTAATACTTTGCTGAAAAAAAATATATAACTGCTAATCGTCCGCGTAATTCACATTTGTATGTTAAATAATTATAAATATTCAAATATTCTAAAACTAAGAAACATCATTGTTGCATATTTTATTAACCATATTTTTTTTTACTATTATACTTTTTAATAAATTTTTATTTAATAAATAAATTAGAATACATATACAATTAAATTAGAATATATATACAAAAATTATGTAAAAATGAATATCTCAAAAAATTATTATAAATTTTTTAAATTTCTATTTTTAATTTTTTCCATAATATTTTAAAATAAAATAATAAATATAATAAAATTAAAATACAATAAATGGATAAAATTATCATAAAACATTGTTAATTTTGATAATTATTTAATAATTAATACGAATTTTTGTTAATTGCGATTTAAAGACTTTATTCTAAAAAATTATTCTGCTTGCAACAAGAAGTTTCTTGGTAATATTGCGCTATGACTGATCGCTAAGTAATTTTATCATGTAGTAATATACCTTTGTATCAACCTTATACCTCTTACATGTATTTCACTTATAAAATCTTTTTATCAAATATATGTATCTAATGTGTTTTTATAAATTTACCTTCATATTATTTGTGATTTAATTTTAAAATAAAAAATTATAGATATTTACTATATTTAATACAATTTAATTGAATAGTACAATTTGTAAAACTTAAGGAATTAAATAAAATTTCATTTAAATTTATATAAACAAATTTTATATGAAAAAATAATTTGTTTTTTCTGTTAATGAAAAATTCACATATAAATGAAAATTTTATAAACAATGAATTTTTATTGAAATTTGTGGAAATTATCTACTATATCCAACTCGATCTCTAGGAATTAATCTTAATTCAGATCCATGTTTAAGAAAAACGTTACCTGAAATTAATTATATTAATATAAATATTTAAAACATTTCCTATAATTTTTCTACAATATAAAAAATTTACCTGCTGTTTGCTGTGGATTGATACCTATTCCATCATCTGTGATTATTGCAGATGTTGATGGAGACACTTTGAATTCTTCTGCAGCAAATTTTAATACAGCAGTAAATGGAGTGTTATCTGGTACACTAAGTCTGCAATTATAAATATATAATGCTTATACAATCTTCAAAAATCTAATTTAGTTTAGAAACTAAATTAAATATTGACTTTAAAAAATGAGAATTTATATAAATAATAATTAAAATAAAATAAATAGAAAAAAATAATGTAATTAATTTTATATGAACTCTCATTTTCCTTTAATGATTATACAATGATTATGCTATTACCATCCAATATCTTTTTCAATTTTATGCCATATTGTACCATTGGGATGTGTTTTTACTAATTTCATTCTGTTATATATTATGTCTGAAATTTCTGTAGGACCATTTAATAACATTTCTACTATTTTGATAAGATGTTCATATTTAAATTCATAGTTCGATATCCAATGATTTTCTATCTCTTTCATATGACGTGCAAAATAAAATATACTATCAAGAAAATTTGTATAAACCTCTGGATTTTTTTGCATAAAATTCCAAAGTAATGTTTGTTTTATATTTATAAAAATTAAGCAAAGATTTACATCATTTTGAATAAGCTTGTTTGATAATAGTTGAACTATTATTTGTTTAATTTTATTGTTATTATCTAAGTTATCAGCAAATTGAATTAGTTTTAAATAAAAACCATCATCAAACATTTTATGAATACATTGTAGAACCTCATATTCATTATTATTGCCAATTAAAAATTCCCAAGACATAATTAAAGCTTCATCTTGTATATTTGAAGCAGAAATATCCAATTTTTCAAAAGATTCTATAATTATATTTGTACATATTCCATTAATTAATATATGCTTAAGAAAATTATTGAATCTATCATTGCCACAATATTCAATGTACAATTTTAAAAATTCATCTATAATATCAGTTGAAATATTAGTATCTTTCAAATATATTTCTAATAATTTATCACAGGCATATTTCAATTCAGAACATTTATATAAACTTGATCTACCTTCTTTCAACCAATGACTGTGAAGATTATTATCAAGTACATTTTCTTTGCCTATTTCATATGCTTTAGCAATTGTAATTTCAATAAATTGAGCACACTGGAAAATTTTTATAACATTTTCAGTGTTTATTTTTTCGTAAACATTTGGATTCTCTATGAATACAAGAAATGCATTAAACATTTTCAATATTTCAAGAAAATCAAACTCTGACATGTTCATATTATTTTATAGACATAAAATATATTTTAAAATTTTAGTGAAATAATAAATCACATCAATGAACTTACACTTTAAAAGGAAGTTTTGGATCAGATGTCAGAGTTATTTTAAAAGTAACTTTAGACCTGCAACAAATTAAAATTCTCATTATTAGTTATCAAATTGAATCATAATTTTTACAAAAACATATGTTTATAGAATGTTTACACGTTTCAGAATCATGATTTATATCTACGATTTTTTTTTTTATGTTATCTTTTTGAAGATTTTGTAAATCAAAATACGTACGCCATAATTATATTTATTAATTATCAAACAGTATTTTGTCAAAAAATGGATTATTCATAAATATATATATATATATATACATATATATTTCACTTTGAAAAAAACATTAACCTCAATCAGACGTTGTGCACTTCCTGCTATGCAATATAAGATATTCAACTCGATCAGAGTTGCCAGCATACGGAACAAAATGGCCGGTAACGATGTAAAATAAAAAAGTAAGAGAATAATATATCATTATATTATATGATTTTGTTGAAGAAATCATTATAATACGTCATATTGCCGTAACAAATCTCATCTATAATCATATATAATCTTATTAGGAATTTTATCAATAGTTTATCATCTCTTAACAAGGGATTTTTTTCCTTCCTTTATCATCTTCATGATTTCATCATTGACATCTCATCTGTTATCTATGTTATCTTTAGTATTTAACTCTTGTTAAAAATCCCATTACTGAGTTATAATGATTATTAACTGGCTTTCTTTTCTCCTATTACTTTTCTTTTAAATCTTTTAAATTCTATAAAAAAATATGCTAGTCATATATATAATATAGTAAATGCCACTTTCCTTTTTATATTATTGTCGACCATTTTGTTCCGCATACTGGCAAGTCTGACAACTCTGTATTTAACATTTTGTATGAAATAAGCGGTATAAAACATACGTGTGTATAATACGCATATGTAAAAATTAGATACTACTATACTATTAGATACTATTATACCGTTAAAAATTTTCGTAAACATATTAAAAAAAAAATTAAATAATTAATAATTAAAATAATTATAATTTCTTTTATTGAAATTTAAAAACTATATTATATATATTTATAAAAAAATCAACGATTATATTTTAAATTAAAAATTCTCTCATTTCTATATTATATTTTAATACAAAATATACTATATAATCAATAAATATTTCATATATTTTAATAAATTTAATGAGTTTGAAAATATTTTAATAAATTTAATGAAACAAAGTATTCAGAATAAAATTAAGAATTAATTTAAAAATATAAATGAGTTCAATTCAATATATTTTATCTTATTAATCATAATTTTAATAATTAAATAGTGAAAAATAAAAATTTTTATCATCAAGATATTTAAATGCATTAAAAATATTCTTTAAAACTATTCGATTAAAAATGTTATACCTTATGTGCCTATATTCATTATGATAATATATAATTTTTGCAATTTATGATGTATATCATGTAATTCAATTTACGTACTTTATATATATATAATATATATTTATAAAAGGTACAATTTTTATTATATATATACATATATATACATATATATATATATATTAATTTTTTTTAATTATTTTCAATTTTAAATTATTTTTTGCTCTTATTTTATTTAATAAATTAATACATTATTGTGACTAGTGAACAATTAAAAACATACTATAATGAATATATTTATATACATTAAATATTTGATTATAATAATTATATGAAAAAATAGAATTAATCAATGTTTATTAATGGTTATCTTTATTGTTGTGTTTTTTATCAACCAAATAAAAAGTACTCCATGATCAAATTTTTGAGATCGCCACGTTACGGCTTATCGCTTCGTAAGTAGTATGATTGTGCCGTTAATGTTGCATTAGTATATTGCACTCCATAGTTTCGGTGCATTAATTTATATCTACGATACAATGCAATAGATAATAGCGCGTAGAACGCGTTTTAATAAGTTACACATTCATAAAATCTAAGAAAAGTTGATTCTTTTCGTATGATTTAAACAATATAAAAGTAAAAAACGAATTATTAAGGTTAGATACAATTATTAAAGAACAACCAACCGCAAAGTTTCATGTAACTTTGATAAATTAGCTCTCAGGCTAACATAGAGAGAATATAGCCAAGTGCAAAATGGATAATAATAAAGTGGAGGACGAAAATCAACGTAATATTAACGATGGGGATTGGATTTGTCCCGATTCTCAGTACGTAGATTTTTTTTAAAGACAACATTATCTTGTATAAAATCAGCCTTACGTTTTATATTTGAATTTTATATTCAATCAAATAATAATATTTATTTTAATTAGTAACATATTTAACTAATAGTATAAATTTTATTATAAATCATGCATTTGATACATAATGTTACTTTCTTAAAATTTTAGTAAAAATATTAATTAAAAAAAAAAATAAAATAAATAGATAATATGAATAAATGTGTTGTTTATTTAATTAAATTTAATAAATATATTAATATATCAATTATACTAATAGTTTATTTTTATTATTTATATTACATTTACATTTTATAATATTTGATAAAGAAAATAAAACAAAATATTTAATTTAAAAAAATTATTCATATAAGTTTTAGATTTTAAGATATTAATGTAAACCTATTAAATATTAATGTGAAAATAGATAAATTTAATGATATATGAGATATTTTGATAATGTTTAATATTTCAGATGTGCCAATGTAAATTTTGCAAGGAGAAATTCTTGTAATCGATGTGGAAAAGGTATATAAAAATTAATATGGTAATGTATAGTTTATATATAATTTTTTTAAAATAATGTTTCATGAATTATATATCTTTGCAATTTTAATATTGCTTTATTAACATTATAGAATATATAAAATATTTCATAATAATTAATATGATTTTTATTCAGACAGGGGAGAATGTCCTAAGAAAAAAAAATTAGGACAAGAAATTGGCAAAGCAGCTGCAGAAAAAAGTAGAGGTTTGTTTAGGTAAATAATAAAAATAGTAAGAATATAATACAAAAAGACATTATTCATAAATTATTTTATATATATGAAATAAATATTTTAAAAATAATATTCAGAAATAATATAATAAAAATTTTAATTGATCAGTTTTATTTAAATTGATATTTTGATTTTAATAATATACATAGTTGTACAATATATTGTATATCTTTTTTTAATTTCAATATATCTAGTATTCTTATAAAATATGTACAATAAGTAAATACTAGATATAGAGCAAATAAACAATTTTATTGTATGGTATTTTTAGTGCTGATGATTGGCAGTGCAGTAAGTGTGGAAACGTAAATTGGGCTCGACGACAGCAATGTAACATGTGTAATGCACCAAAATTTGGAGAAATTGAAGAACGTACGGGATACGGAGGAGGATACAACGACCGAGGAGTTGTTGAATATAAAGAAAGGAGAGACGATGATGACGAATACGATGAATTTGGACGTCGTAGAAAGAACGAAAAATTGAAAACCGTTCAGATGACGATTCTAAAGATTCTAGGTATAGCAGTCCACCACGTAATAAATCTAAAGATGAAGATGATAGAAATGAAGTAGAAGAAGATCAAAATGTAATTGAATATATTTTTAGTGAAAATTGAAAATATTATATACATATAGTATATATATATATATATATTTAATTTTAGGATGAAGATGAAGAAGAGGAAGATGATGAAGAAGATGGCGATTTATCTAAATATGATCTTAGTGAATGGGATGACTTTGCAGTTAAGAAAAAGTAAATTTTCACATGATTAATACTTCTGTAGTGAATACAATACATACTGTTAATTTTCAGTACAAATGGGAGCACTGTATCTTCAGAAGAACAACAATCAAGGTAACAATAACATAAATAATAATGATACAATTAAAAAATTTAAATCATTCAGTAAATTTTTTTCTATTAAATCAATAATAAAAATAATTATGGATAAAAATGCTCATATAATTATTGTAAAAACATTATTTTCATATAAACATAATGTTTTTTTCGCAGAGACAAAGATGACTGGCGCGATTCAGGAACATCTAGTCAATGAGAATATGTGCAGAAGGAAAGGTTTGACTTAGGTTTCGGGTATAAAATTGGTTGCAACAATGAATCGTAATTAATCAATGAAATTGTTGAACACTTTTCTCTTAAAACTTCTTAGATACAGTATTATCATATCCCTTATTGTAAATCAATAAATGTTGAATTGAATAATGGCATAGATGAATGAAGAAATAGATTCAACAAATTTGAAGAAATTCATAATACAATACTTGTTAAATAAATGATTTTTTTTACAGGTGAAAGGAAATTCAAGAATGACAACTTCTCGACAACAAGAGATATAACACAACGCAACAAATTTAGTGATTTAGTGAGCACCTTTGGATAAAGTGATGAACAATATATACAACTTATTGCAAGGGGGATTACAAATAAGCTTTACATTTCGTGACTGAGCTCATAGCTTCATTTGACTCAATGGATGGAGAGTGAAATGTAGGTTACTTATTTGCGCAATATTGTCTTAAATATTGCATAGTAATGTGGAAATTCGTAAAATACTTGGCGCAGGTAGAATATTTCTCTAGTAAATGAAATTAAAACAAAAAAACAGAAAAACAGAATGAAATCTGTAATATTGACATAATTTTATGGATGATATGTTACACGACTCGTTGTAAAAACTTTGAATTATGAACATAGATGAAATCTTATTTCTAACTGAAAATATAAAGTCTTCGAGAAAGCTCTCTATCATCATGTCACATATTTAGAAATGTTCTTTATGTTATCACAAAATTCATCATTTTGCGCTAAATCGCTTAAAATATTGCTCAAGCTGCTTCGAAAAAATTTTTTTTAGTTTATTTTCTCGCTTCGTCTTTCTCTAATTTTCTCATTCATTCTTTTTTTTTTCTCTTTCTTCATGCATAACATCTAACGATTAAATAAACATATTATAGTATTAAAAAATCATTCCTTAATGAATATAGATATGTATTGATGTCTTCAGAAAGAAGAAAAAAGGATACATTTTCTTGTTTGACTATCACAGATCCGAGTAAGTTGGAAGCAGCCTGTTTTTTAAATGAAAAAAAAAATGAGCTCATCATATTTAAAAACTCTCATTCAGTTTTCAACGGACAGAAAAAAATAGCATGATTAAAAAAAAATCTAATGTCCGTTTTCAAATAATCACGAAACTTATTATCGATCAATTCTGATACTGACTTCTTGTAAATATCTTTATTTTTCATTTATAATAAAAATCATTCATCAACAACATAATTGTTCTTAGTCAATTATTCTTTTTCTCTTATAATCATTACGCTACGTGGGGTCATGATTATGCACAGTGTTGGTCACGAGGGAATTGGTGAAGGGAATATAAGGGACGGGCAATATTATTTTAAGGAGTATGTTGCAACAGGAATATATATCGTATATATGTACAATTATGAATTTGAGCTTGTTTGACTGCGTTTTTTTTTCAATTATTTAGTGATAAAAGGAAGGATGAATTTTTCACCGGCATATCTTTATGTCGTTTCTTCAAATACTTCATTAATTCTCGCACAGTATTTTATCACGAGCAATTATTCGAATAAAAAGGAAGAGAAGAATCTTTGCCTTTTTTTGTTTACGTTCTTTCTTTCTTTTTTCTGATCCACGAAAATCTCTAGCAACGATCACCGTATATTCCGATCGACGAAATAACGATTACTACGAAGAAATCAGATTTTACATTAGTATTTACATGATTCGCGTAACGCTACGCGATATTTGTAATGTTTCCAATTTACAGAGTGAATTCTGATACGAAAACGATATTTTCTAAGACGATGGAACAGATTTTAGAGACGCGAGAGACATTAAAGACTTTAATGTCATGATTTATGAATAAAACGCTTATCGATATAATAACACATACATAAACAACTTCGTAAATAAAGAATTGAACGAGAATTTCGTTACCACCGCCAGTCATGATAAACCATTTTACAGAAAATGGTATGTCATTAATTATTTTTCATAATTATTCATCACATCAACATAGAACCTTAACAAATTCGACTTCTTTATCCTTTACAAGTTTGCACGCAATAATTTTATATAAAGTTTTACATTCTTCGAAAATGCGTGTTCATTCTTATGATCGAAATTGTTCTCAAGATTAATAAACATAATTGTCAAGAAGGACACAAAAAGGCCACCACAATCATAAATTATCGCCGTCGCGACATTTATCTTCGATCAAACAGATAACACATTTTATTTCGGCATAAAGAACTGCTGATGCGAATGCGAGTTCGGCGGCGGATGTAAATTAGGATGTGGTGGACCACTACCTCTTGTCCCAGTAGCATAAAGTTGTTGCTGGAAGTTATGGAATTGTTGAGCATAATTTGGATCCGACATGCTTGGTCCAGTACCGACGAAAGGGCTATTCTTGAAGTTACTAGTAGCACCACCCATGCTCGGAGGTAATGGCTGAGTCGCATCCGGAGGAGGTCCTAATCCCATGGGACTACCTTTACTACCAGATACGTACATACCAGGATTTGGTTGACTGGGAACTTGCGATACCATGTCAGGTGGGAAGACTTTATCTGGATCCATTGAACTTCCTGGAAAGACGCCGCCACCAACCATGTGTTGCATTCGCATTAAATTAGGCTGAGGTCTCATATTGCCAACAGGTCTCATTGAGGGATGTACACCAACAGATGTATTCATGGATTGTCCGTCCATCCTCGGAGAACCTCCCATGCCAGGAAGTCCACCGCTCATGGTTGATGGCATACCACTATGTGGACCCATACTATTTGGTACACAACCGTTCGGGAAGTACTGAAGATTTACAGATGGTGTGCCCATCTTTGATTCTAAATTAGATAAGGGATTTGTAAATCGTTGAAGGAAGTCCAAGCTTGGTGGCCCTCTAGGAGTATGACCAACGTTAGGCCTAGCCGGTAAATATTGTATCGTGTTCGGAGCACTAGGTTTTACTTGAACGTTCGCTCCATTGTAAGGACTAGGACCAGTTACGTGACCTGTCATTAATCTTGGCGGTGGTGCATGAGGATCGCCACCAGGATATGCATTTGCTGCATTACCTGAATGACTACTCATCATACCATGTCCCATTATAGGATGACCTATTTTGCTAGGTACACCAGGACTTCCTGTATGCGAAGTTGTCGGACTATAACTCGTTGGTGGTCCTGCGAGACTCATGCACATTCCTCCTACTTCGCTTGGTTCATTGGTTGGACCACCCATATGACAACTTCCATTCATTTCACCGCCTATTTGCATCATATGCATACTATGCGGATTGCCGAATTGCATCATTCCAGTATTTCCAGAATGAATAGGTCCTTCATTACCTAATGAATTGCTAGCTGCCGTGTTGGTAAGTTGCTGACTCATCTGAGCTAAGGAAGTTATAGGATCAAAATGATTTGTACTCATTGCGGTTAAACTGCCGAGTCGCCCTCCGATATTGTTGGGATTAAGAGGCACATTGTCTGAAGGTTGACTCACATTAATAGATGGTCTTCCGCAAGGAAGGGAGCATTTGAACCTCCCAAAGGAGGCACCACTGTTGTATTTCCGGAATTATTTGGATTTGCAACTGTAGATTGTTGAGGTGGCTGTTGCGGTTGTTGCGGTTGCTGTTGTGATTGTTGTTGAGGTTGAGTTTGTTGTTGTTGAGTATCTTTTGTCGATGGCGGTGATGTGTCAGGTTTTGTAGTAGGTGATGCTGGTACTGTTCTTGGGGGACCCATACTATCCGATATATTTGCGTTGTGCGGTGCTGGACTACTTTGTGCACTTGCACTAGACTTATTTCCAGGTTTTCCAGGATCAGCTGGAGTATGTGGAGCACCATTGCCTGGTGTATGCGGAGTATGAGGAGTATGTGGACTATGTAAAGAACCTGTAAAACCGCGATTCATATCCATCTGAACTGGACTTGCACCTTCGGATCTAGGAAATTGATTACTATTGTCCAAAGTTCCTGGCAAAATTCTGTTCGATATCTCTGTATTGCTGGCTGTGTTTCTATAAAAAAAAGTACAGAATGATATGAAATCATATATTTACATTAAGAAGTAAATAATCACTAAATATACTTACGTAGATAAATTGCCATCTTTTAAACTTGTATTTGGTTGTTTTTGTATTGTTAGTTCTTGTCCTTCGAAAGTATTAAGATATTGAATCTGTTGAGGACTCGGAACCGGCATCAGATTTGCTTCCTTCACACCTGTTGCATTTACTGCTCCAGTATGTTGCTGCTTTTGCTGGGCTAAGGATTGCAGCGTGCGGCAAAACATACCATCCACTATGTTGTAACATATAATACGATCAATTCACCGCGTAATTTTTTAAGCAGTGAACTTTTAAAATATTTTATGTAATAATTAAAATAATCATTGTTACTTAGTTGTTGTATTAAAATCCTTTGAATGCAATTTAATATCAAATATTATTTAATGTATTAAACATATTTTGAAACATACAATCTACAATAAAATGCCTATAATAATAAAATAATTATTTTATTGCTTGATCTTACCATTTGGAGGTTGACTGGTGGGAAAGTCTAAAGAAGAATCTTTTTGAGCAGTCGTTCCACTAGGACTAAGTGTTGAGATATGCGAATGAGAAACAGGTGTTCCTGGATTACTATGATTAAGTCTTGTTGTTGATACAGCTGTTGCATTCCCAACTGTTGGATTTGGAGAATCTTGACTTGTCGGACTTTGTCCTTGTAGATGGCTAGTTCTCTGATTACCGAGTTGAAATTGTCTATTGCAATCTGCAGGTGAATTTAGAGCTGAACTTGCGCGAGGTGATGGTAAAGACAAATTGCTAGTTGGATTATTAGGTGAAGAAGGATTTGGACTTTGTATCGCAATTGGCACACTTGCAGATCGAGTTGTTTGATGATATGGTGGTGGTGGTCCTTGACTACGTGGAACTCCTACCATATTAGCACCTCGTAATGGAACTCCTGTTCCAGGACTTCCAACACTGGTCTGCAATATAAATAAACATTATATTAAATCGATACATTAATATTTTCAAAATATTTTTCTTTTCAAAATTATTTCTCTTAATCATTTTACCTTATTTTTTCCATCAAGAAATTGATGTTGCAATTTATGCCAATCCATAGTTGGAGGACATTGAGTTGGTACAACTGAAGGAACATTTGTTGGAGGACACGTTGATACCGCTGTTCCTTGTGTTGCATCTAGTGTATTAGTAGTTTCTTCTTTATGTTCAGGAAATAACATCATTTGCATTTTCCTAATGGTTGCTAATTGAACCTCTCGATGTTGCCTTTGTTGAGGAGTTAAATTTTCGTCTGGAACTTTGACACCTTGTAAAGATGGCTGTAAACTGCCTGGACCTGGACTGGTAGTACCTCCTAATAAATTAGGACTATGACCCATTGTAGTATTATTCGGAGGTTGAGGATTTGCTGTAATAAAAAGCACAGTTTTAATGAAATATAGAGAAAAAAAAATACCATTAAAAAAATGAAAATATTTTCAATTTTAATATAAAATGCAAAACTACATATTACCTGAATTACCAGGTGAATTTGGTACAAGGCAAGGCACATCTATATTTGCATCATCCAATGATGGTTCAGAATTGCCAAGAGTATTACCACCATTTAAATTTCTTAGATTAGGTTGTTCATTCCAGAATGGAGGAGCATTAGGATCAAGAGCTGGTAGATCAGGAGGTTGTTCATTTTGAAAATTATTTGTACCTCCTTGATGAGTTTTTTGTTTCATCATTGCAAGATTGTTTAACCATTGTGCAGGATTTTGACGGAATTGATTTACTTTATTTGGATGTTTCTGAAATAATAATATCCTATTAATTTTTAATTCTAAATATAAAATAAACATAATATAAACATAAACATAAAAATAATGTAATTTTTTTATGAAATTTAATTACATACTTCTAAATACTTTTTAGTGCCTGGTTGTGCACAATGATAAGCAATAATTGACGGATATTGCCCTTGTAACACTGCATCTGCACCTTTATTTGCTAATGTTGTAGAAAATACAAAAATTTGACTTTGTTGTTGCATATACTGAGCTTCACCACTTCCTGTACTAGTTCCCATCTGTTTTCCAAGAACATTACTAACTAATGGCTGAATACCATCTGCAGTAATCACATTACCACTACAATCTACAATAAAATGAATGAAATAAAATAAAAAAGAATGTTAAATATTAAAAATATAAATAATTAATAGAATATAGAATTAAATTTATATCTACCAGGTATATCATCTGTGGGATTATTATGATCACCTTCTTGCTTCACTGAATTTAGAATTGGTTGATTTGCACTATTATTTTGATTCTCCCCTGATAATGTACCTTCTCCATTAGAAGGATCCAAACAAGGATCCCTAGAACACTCTGTTGTGTCCTCTCCAGTTGTATCATCATTATTACCTCCGGAACCCTCTTCTTTGATTTTAACTGGATCCGTGTCAGGTTCTTCTTTAACAACAGTGGTTGGTACACAACTTGGTTCGTTGGGCTTTTTTTCTGTTTTCATGTTTGAAGATTATTGGATAAATTATCCTGTCAGACTTTATTCAGGTGAATAAAGATTAAACACATGGCCACTATCATCCGCAACATGCGGTGTAACAATGCATTCGAAACAGTAGTAGAGGTTAACAACGAAATATCATTGACCGGTACCGTGCAAGCATGTACTTAAAAAACCATGTATAACAGCACTCTCGAGGAAGGCATGTTTCTGTGAATCTGTATTATTTCTCTGATGATAGAAGTTCTGGTGATCGTCGATTCAGCGCGTTTTCAGTCATTTAGTCTAGCTAACCGCAGAATCGGATTCCTACGCATGGAGGAATCACGGTTGTCAGCGGGCGACTGATATAAGAATATGAAAGTAAGACCAATACCACGAAGGTATCGAGATGAAGAAAATATCTAAATGTCAGCCCCGTCTCTGCGGCGAGTACATAGCGTACCTCCGGCTTTAATGTTGTACGGAACACCACGTTGTAATCGCAAAAGATGTATCCAAAACATAGAACAGGGGCCAATGCACGCTGCACTCAAATTTCTTTGCCATTCGCGAGCATTGTTCTCCAACTTTATTTGTCACTTCATGGTCGCTTTGATTATTTATTTCTTTTACGCACGGCTGCCAACTGCCCGTCGAAAGTTAGACATCGTTTTAACGCGCCTCGAGAAGGAAGCGTTCATACCTTTTCCGATAAATAGAAAAAGATGGAAAGAGAACACCAGGCGTACTTGACTTGTTCCTTACACTTGATCGCCTGCAGGGTTACTATTTTGGTCTTTCTTTGCTTGTATTTTCACCATTCTTTCAAAACTTTAACGTAAGTATTCATATCTAAATGCATACCTTTCTTTATTCTTTTTGTAAAGTAAAGTTTTATTCACGATAATATCTCCCTAGACAGAGGCTGCATTTATTTAACGCAGAATCAAAACTCTGTAAAATTAAATTTGGAATACGCGAGACCAGGGACGAATCAAGTAATAGCAGTGCCTATGTTCTTTAACTTTCGTTATTTTTTACTTTATGTACAATATACGGTTCCCATGTATGGAAATACTTTCCAAGCGGTATTTTTAAAATGTAAAATGACATTAAAAAAATTAAAAATTTGACCAAATAATAATGTATTTGTGTTTATATGAATATTTAATTTAAATATATATAAATTATCCATGTTTCATAGATGTTATTTAAAAAAAGATATGAAATAAATAATTAAAATTTTTGTGTTATTTTTTAATTGCATGATTTATTTAACGCAAATTAACATAAATATTTTATGTACATATTTAAATATGTAAGATTTCATATTACTTAAAGATATATGATTATAATCGATTATATTTCATATTTTTTTATAATAGTAATAAATTTAATTTTAACTATAATTTATTTAAAAAATGAAACAATTTAATATAATTGAATAGATAATTAATAAATATAACCTAGAATTTTTTTTTAATTCTTTTATATTTTGAATAATTATAGTTTAAATATTATATGAAAAGTTAAATATTAGTTATTATTAGTTGTATTATATGAAAAAAATATTTAATCAGATATTTATAACAAATTTATTATTTATTACTAAAAATTTTTCATACAATTATCTTATATTTTACAGATCAAAGTAAGTCATATAAAAATGTCACAATTGGAGTTAGATCCTCAATTTACACAGGGTTTACATCTTTTACATTCCACTAATAAAGATTCTGCAGAACAATTACGAGCTCTTCTAGATGAAGCAATCAAACAAAAATATGGACCATCAAAAATGTTATCGAATGTATTACACAAAAAGGTAATTAGATAATAACTAATTTAAACATATTATTTTGAGGGTTATCAAGAAAAAAAAAGTAAATCAAAGTGGTTTATATTAATTAAGTTATTATACTTACAGAATTAGTTCTGATATCAGGGCACTCATGAAGCATAGGAGATTTCATTCACGTAAAAAGATATCCAGTATTTGATCCCTCTGTATGCACTATCATTGTCATTTTATTTTGAATTTCTATCTTTTGGATTTTCTGTTTTTAGTATATGATGGAGGAACCAGTGCTAAGTGATCATAGCAGCAGTAGTAAAAAGAGTAAAAGCTCCTCTTCTTCTTCTTCCAAACATTCAAGTAAATCAAGCAAAAATAACTCTCCTGTAAATTTACCAACTCGTGACACACCACCTGATATTATTCAGACTGATAATACTTTAGCATTAGAAATACTAGAAGATGATCTGACATGTGTAATTTGCAAAGGAATGGATGTTGGTGCAAGAAACAGACTTGTTGAATGTTTAGAATGCCATTCCTTATACCATCAAGAATGTCATGTTCCACATATTTTAGATTCTCAAATAGATGTACCAGGATTGGTGTGGTATTGTTCAAACTGTTCCAAATCTCAGGTGTGTGTATTCACTCACATTATAATTTATTATATTTTTAAATTTAGGAATATATTTTTGATTTATTGAAGAATTCTAGAAAAAAATAAATATTATGAAATAATAAATTTTTCTTTTAATTTATAGGTTTCAAAAGAAAGGAGTTCACCAAAAACAGTGATAGAAAGTAAATCTAAAGAACAAAAAAAATCCAATTTGAGTAAGTTCTCAATATTAAAAAATATATTTTAAAAAATTTTTTTTTATAAAAATTTTAAAAATTTATTATATATTAAAAGAAAGAGAAAAAGTAGCTATTATTATTTTTTTTAAATAGGTGGTGGAACAAAATAACACCAAATATTCATATTATAAGTGCAGATAGAAGATTAAAAGATATGATGAAAAAAGCTAAACAGGATAAACGAAGCACAAATATTACTCAAAGTTCAAAAAAAAATTCTTCATCCAACTCACCAGCATTGTCTTCAACAAAATCTCAGGAAAAATCATTAGTATATAAAATCAAATCAGGTGTAGAATGAAGCACTTATTATATATATTATGACAATATTTTATAATGTGAAAAAGACTTAAACAAATTTTATAATTTCGACGTTACAAGTTGATTAGTTAATTGAGAAAATCTTTAACATTAATAGTGCTAATCAAATATTTTAATATCAAAATCGATATATTTTGTAAAAAATATAATTTGAACAAATAATGTTAATATTTCATACCGCAGTAATTCCCGATTTTTTGCTAGCTAAGATTTTTACTTTTTATATTATTATATATTTTCGTTAGAAATACTTAGATGATTTTTTAAATATAATTTGTTATGAAATAATGAATTGTGACGCAATGTAATTTGATATTGTAACATTTAACATTTAAAAAATATAATTTTTTGTACAAACATACATTAATTTAAATATATAAATAAAAATATGCAATTGAATTTTTATAAAATTTCATAAAAACCTAAAATAAAAAAAAATGATAAAATATAAAAAAATATTAAATATGGGTACTTCAAAATAAATTTTACAAATTACGAATTCATTTATAATACCAATATATTTTTGCAATGCTTTGCAATTTTTCAAATGCTTATTTGTTTATCCCTACATCCCATTGAAAATTTAGCAATTAGTCATTTCATTTTCAAATGTTATTTATAATCTACTTGTATGCGAGATGGGGGGTTGAATTCTATTTACATATACATTCATACATCCATACGCACAAATAAAGCAATATTACATTCATACATTGCACTCTTCATTTATAATATACAACGATAAAAGATACATTCAAAAATTCATGGGAATGAAAATGAGCCTATTTTATATTTTTTTCTTACACAGTTCCCGAGTTAAATATATTTAAGTTATTCTTATAGGGAACAATTATCCTCCTTCCCCCCATCCATTTTTTTGGAAGCTTAACAAAGAATAATCTTAAATTTGACATGATGTTTGGAATTATCTATACTACGAAGCATGACATTATTAATCGATTCATAAAACTGTTAAACATTTCCTCCATTAATTACAATACAATACATATGTTGAATGCAGAATTGACAAGCTTTTCAGATGGATGGAGTCAATTGTCGAGAGTACAAATTGTCGAGAAATTCTGCTATACCACAAGCAATTCTCAATATTATACTTAAATGTCAATATATTTTTCGTAAGAATATATTGAGAATATTTAAATGTCACAAATTCTGAGACTAGCTTTCTTCATATTTTAAGCAGTAAATAATATTTTTACATTAATTATATTGAAAGATAAATAAAAATTAATGCTTATTTATTCTAAATAATTCTAAATTATGTTGTATTAAATAAGTTTTAAACAAATTGATAAATGACTTGAAAAATAACTAATAATATTTTCGATTTAAAATTAATTATTAGTGCAAATTTTTTTTTTAAATATTTTTTTCATTAAATATACAAATGTTTTATATAATATTCAAATATTTTAAATGTTTTAAGGAAACAGAATTTCATCGAAAAATTTTTGCATGTATACAATATTACATAAAACATTAAAAAACGTAGCATATTACACGGCTTTCCATCAAATTGCGCTTGAACATATGTTCTTCGCGTATAATACAAGATATTCTATATTATAATTTTTGAATTATAATTTTGCAAATGAATATTTTGATTACTAAAAATATAGATCATACATAAGAATCTTCTAATTTTTAGTTAATAGAGACAAAACATATGCATATAAGAATATATGTGCAATATATTAATATACGTCAATCTGTGTTATGTAAAATAATATACACATATTAAAAGAAAGTTTAATATACCATAATAAAAACATCGATCCTTATTGTGGACGTTACATAATATTATTCGAATAATGTATAAACCTACTTTAGAAAATTTCAAGTCAATTTTACAATTCCAATAGCTTCTTTAATATACACTATTTTTTTTTTTTTACTAACTCTTATACGATAATATAAAAATATTGATATTAATAATAATGACAATTTTAATGAACATTTTATTGAATATTTACAATTAGAAACGTATCATCCACAATTCAAGGATTTGCTATTTATTTAATTCATTATATCATTAATATGTTTGCATTCAACGATTCAATTACAATAAGAGCGATCATATTATCGCTCTTTATCACTAAATATTTTCATTATTTGTTTTGTACAATATATTACTTCAATGTATAATAATTTAAAAATATATTACTTAATCTATGAAAGAAATAATATATATATATTTTTACTGTAATTATATTTTTATATTATAATAATTATTAGAACAGACTTTTTTTTATATTTAAATAGAATATTTATTTATTTTATTTCAATCATTAAGTTAATAAAATTTAAATAAAAAAAATTCATTATTTCGAAAATATTTAATAAAAAAAATTTATAATTATTTTATTAATTTTTAAATAATAAGCATTCTAACATAGTAATACAGTAATGCAAATTATTTGTATTTTCACAATTCATTATCATTAATATATAAATACTATTTCTATTTCCAAAATATTGCATAAAAATATTCAATATTTATCGAATAGAATAAATATCTTATTTAAATAATATGAATAGTAATTTTCAGACGATTGTTTCAATTCATTTCATTGTAAATGGTTTATTAGATTAAAAATATTTTAAGGAAGTGATAAAAAAGTAATTTAATAATAAGTTTTATTAAAATATTATTATATACTAATATTATTGAAATTAAATTTTGTATATATGTGTGTTTGCAT